CGTTTCCTGTGCTCTATGTGGGGACAGCGTAAGGGGGGGGGGGGGAGGCAGGTCCTCGTAGATCCGCTCGACAGAATGCTTGAAGTAATTACCGAGTGGAGCGAGATCGTACCTATGACAAACTGAGTGGGTTTTTCCCATGTTTATTGTATTGTTTTTCCAGATGTTTTATGACAATAGTGCTAGATAATTGCGAGCAAGAAAGTTTTGAAATCTAAATACAAATTTTACAATGTTAGTTGCCAGATGTTTTATTGCATTAAAAAAAGGTCTCGCAATTTCGAACAAAATGATATTAATATCCAGTATGTTTTATAAAATATTTCGGTGATTCTATGCAAAATGCGAGAGACTGAATTGTACAATCAATTCAAAACTGGCGGTAAATGCGAATTTATGAATTCTAGATTTGGTCCAGAGTACAAGCGATTGAAGACATAAATTTCCCACCTTTTTTATAAAATCGCTCTGCGTTTCAATGCCATAAGCCGACGATTTAATGGTCTGATCGATTCCAAAATGAAGGTGAATATGGTTTTAGAGGCCCATAGTGGTTATAAATGACGTATGAGAAACGGGTCAAACACTTATCGCCATTTTAAAGAAATCGCTCACTGTTTAGGAGACAAATACAGGCGACCTAATAGCACTATCGCTATTAAAATGTTTGTGTGTGGGCCTATAGTGGCTACCAACGACAATGATTAGGAAAGAATCGACTCAGAAACTTTGGGCCATTACGATGAAATCTTATTTTGCTTATAATTGCTTATATGGCAATTGCGTGAGGCCTAATGGCCCGATACATACCAAATGGAGGTTGATATTGTAGCAAATAGTGGCTACAGAAGACACTGATTAGGAGCGATGCGGGTCATAAATATTTCTCATTTTTATGAAATTGCAATATTTTCCCATTGATCCTAAAATAGCAGTGAATATAGGGGGCAACAGTAGCTACAAAATGATTCTGATTAGGAACGATTGGAGTCGTAACTTCTCTTCATTTTATGAAATATTCCAGTGTTTCGGTGGCAAATTCGTGCGACCTAACAGCCCCATCGATCCTAATATGGCGGTTAATGTAGGGATCAATTGCTACGAATCACTCTGATTATGAGCGATTCGCGTCATAATCTTTTCGCCATTTCTATAAAATTTCACACGTTTCGGTGACAAATCGGGCGGTCTAATGATCGATACCAAAATCGAGAGATCGTAGGATCGGACTATTAGATCGCGAGTATTTGTTGCCCAAATCCTATGCTATTACCTTAAACTATTCAGAAGTTTATGACTGAAATCACTCGTTCTTTAGGATATTTGTAGCCACTGATCTCCACATGCACAAAAAATATGGGAGGACTCGGGCTATTAGGTGGCCAGTATTTGTTGCCCAAATCCTATGCTATTACCGTTAATTATCCGGAAGATTATGACTAAAATCACTCGTACTTTAGGATATTTGTAGCCACTGATGTCCTCTACATGTACAAAGAATTTGGGAAGGATCGGACTATTTGGTCGCCAGTATTTTTTGCCCAAATTCTATGCAATTACCTTAAATTATTCAGAAATTTATGACTGAAATCACTCGTACTTTAGGATATTTGCAGCCACTGATGTCCTCTACAATCACAAAAATTTTCGGAAGGATCGGACTACTAGGTCGCCAGTATTTGTAGCCCATACCCTATGCTATTACCTTTTATTTTTTGGAAGTTTATGACTGAAATCAGTCGTATTTCGGATATTTGCAACCACTGATGTCCTCCACATGCACAAAAAATTTGGGAGGTTTGAGGATATTAGATCGCCAGTTTTTGTATCCCATACCCTATTCTATTACCTTAAATTATTCGGAAGTTTATCACTTAAATCACTAGTACTATAGGATATTTGCAGCCACTCATGTCCTTGACATGTACAAAAAATTTAGGAAGGATCGGACTATTAGGTCGCCAGTGTTTGTTGCACATATCCGTTGCAATTACCTTCAATTTTTTGGAAGTTTATGTCTGAAATTACTCGTTCTTTAGGATATTTGTAGCCTGTGCTGTCCTCCACATGCGCAAAAAAATTGGGTGGAATAGGGCTATTAGGTCGCCAGTATTTGTTGCCCATACCCTATGCTATTACCTCAAACTATTCAGAAGTTTATTTCGGAAATCACTCGTACTTTAGGA